CACACACACACACACACACACACACACACACACACACACACGTATAAGCTACATATTTAAAGGTTAATTGTGTGTCTTCAGCTGGAAACACACTCGCTCCAAACTGCTGACGTCAGCACAGGTTGTCACAGTTTAATGATGAAAATTACATCACCGAGCTTCGCAGCGTCGTGCCGACAGCCCCTTTTGGCACAACCCACCGGCAGAACTTTTTGACCCCCCTCCTGTGTTGACGGTAATGTGTGATTGGTCTGAAGTTTGTGGGCGTGCTTGTTTGTGCTGGGGGGGGGACTCACTCCCAGACTAGAAGCAGAGTTTTATAAGGTAGTCAAACTGTGAAAAACTCATGGATGGAGATAAAACAGACGTTGTGCACGRAGGAATCTGACTGATAAAAACTGAGGAGCTTTAACAGGACACACGTGGATAAACACATCTGTTGAGTGATGAGTCTGACCTTTTCTGCATTATKGGCTGTTGCAGGAGAACTCCATGCAGTGATGTACGTTTCAGCAGGAGGGGGGGTTCCCTGAACTTGGCGCGGGGTGTCGAAGGGACTATGAAAGCTCTGTGTGAAAACGACTGCTGAACAACCACGTGAGCGCTCGTCGACTTGTCGGCGTCGGAGCGAGTATGTTTCAGGCTTTAGTGTTGATCTGGAGCACACATACCCAAACACAGTGACCCAGGTCTGATCCAGCTGGTCCTCAGAGGACAGAGACTCTCCCTGACTGTAGAAAGGATCAATCTGAGCCGGAGACAGACACACCTGCTGCACACCTGGACAACACACAGGTACACACCTAACCGTTAATACAGCCTGAAGAACAGGGCAGCTGTGTGTTTGTAATCAAACAATAACTGTTACACAACAATGATAAAGGACCTAGAAAGGATTTTTAAAGACGTGTAATGGTGTGGACCAGTGACTGTCTGAAACTAGACTTTCAATAGAAATAAAGACTGACACAGTAAAGACATTTATTAGTCAGATTAGTTACTGATTTTAAAGCACTACACCATTTTCTTAGTTTTCCTTTTTAAGTATTGACTGCTACAATCCATAGTTCAACTATTATTATGTCTTGATTACAATAGTTTAGATACATGTCCGAAACATTTTTACAACACATAAGAAATGTTTATAAAACATTCGGTGAGTCATTGCTGTTCAGAGTGCCTGTGATTCAGCCTGAGGCCAGTAGAGGGCAGGCCAGGCACTGAAGACAGTGAATAAATGCTGGAACTTCCTGTTTTTTGTCAGCGTTGGTTTCCTGCTTGCTTGAACAGCATTAAACCACCGTTCAGATTCCAGTCACTGGTGTTTGTATGGTCCTCATTCCTTTTACATTTCTATTTATTCAACTGTTGTGTGTTTATGTCTCGACTTCTGTTATGGTGCGTTCACACC